GGGGGGGGGGGGTCGAGGTGGGGCAGAAGGAGGGAGATTTAGTCTTGTTGCGGCGTCGAAGGAGTAGCGCACAAGAGTTAAAGGTATGGCGAGGAGGCAAGGGGAATAAGTCAAACGCAGGCAGAAGTGGACGGGCGAGCGGATTCAACCTCCTTTCACTTTCAACGATCGGCGAGCGCGAGCTCAACACAACGCCACGCTTGGCTTTGGGTGTTTGTTGGGTACAAAACTTTTAACCAACGCGCCAAACAGCCGCGAAAATAGGCAACGCTGTTTAAAAGGTTTTGACCACAGTTGGTTTTTATTTTTTTTCCTCAACCTTTTCAAGAGCCTATTAATAGTATCCACCTCACGGTACAATTATTTGTGATTGGGAAAATTGAAAAAATAGAGAGAATGAAAAATCCAAGACAATGTAGGAAAATAGCGGAATGATAAAATACCGATAGTCTTCGTATGCACTGTGCACGGCAGATTCTGACTCATCGTGCTCCATAAAATAGACCATTTGTAAGCTTTAAAAGTGCTCAAGGTCAATCTTGAAAAAAAAACTTAAAAGCAGAAATAAAAGTTGAAAAACGCAGGAATACGCAGAAATATAATAAAAATTCAAGAACACAGTGCCTTCTGCATTAAACATTTTGCTCCACTCTTTCCCCTTTTTTTTTGTTATATTCACGAGGGGAAGAGGGACTGGCCCGCGTGATGGGAAACAGGAAGACACTCTATGGCGTGGCCTCGACACACTTACGTTTTATGGAGGCCCCACTTGGGATGCGTGTTTATCGAGCGTATGTGAATCCAAGGACGTTACCTCCAATTTTCAGTCTCAATTCATTTAATAAGAGATCGATGGAATAAAAAAAAAGTAGAAAACAGGGTTTTAATGGAGAACCCATTGATCCTTGATAGGAAAAATCGATAGTTGAGAAACTGAGAGACTTCCTGGTGATTATCAGGGGGGAGGGGTGGGAGTTAGCTTCCGCTTTCACTGTTAACAAGGTCGATTTGAATTAACCCGAGAATTTAGTTCAAGGGCACTGATATCCCCATAATGGGGAGTCAATCGTGCAACGTTTATGAAACTTTACCAATTTCACAAAAATAATTTTAATTTGCATTTGAGGCGATTAATTTCAGCAGCGAAATGTAAAACGGTTCACGTTAATTTCGAATGTTGGTGTTTTCAATGAGTATCTTGGAATCTAAGGCAGATAGCAATATTTTGGTCAAAAACTTTTTGTAGCTCTCAATTCGCTCTACAAAAAAGATAACTACAAGAATTTCGATATCTCCCTTAGATTCGGAGATATTTCTCGAAAACTTAGCTAAGAGCTAAGTCAACTTGTTATTACACGCCTCAAGATTTGAAATAAAATTGTTATTTTGTGTGGAAGTGTATGAGATTTTCCCTTCTATTTATCCCCCTTGGCCCTAGGGCGCAGCCCCTAGAAGACAACTTGTCTCTCTATATAATAAAAAAAACAAGGAGGCTTAGAAATTCAGGAGACGCTCCTGATTCTGACCCTGATGATGAGATGAATTATTATCGCTACCTCTTTAGTAGTAGATTATACGGCGGTCAAGTCCTCAAAAAATAATAATAAGAGTATTCCTAGTCCTATTCTATGTAAATAAATGGAAAAATGGTTGAGTTTCAAGACAAAAAGCGTTGGTTAGAGCCTTTTATAAATAATTAAAATGTAAATTTTTCCCCCCGAGAATATGGGGGAGAGCGAAGCGAGCGAAGGGAGCGAAGCCCCCCGGGATTGGTGAGCGAAGTGAGCAGGCTGCGAAGTATAATAAATAAATAATAAATAATGCTTGTTATTTCTCATTGTAGCTGTACGTGCAGACAGGATGAGAGGTGGTAGAAACAAGTTTGGCCCGATGTACAAGAGAGACAGAGCGAGAAAATTGCAGATACTGCGACAACGTCAACTGGCACTACAAACGATACGGGGTAGTCTAGGTGATCCGAATTACTCGTCAGGAGTAACGCCATTCCTCCACATAAAACAAGAAATACAGATACCTCAGGTCTCGAGTCTAACATCATCCCCCGACTCGAGTCCATCACCAGCAGCTGTCGCTGCTGGTTTAGTAACAAATCAACCCGGTGGTAATAACAACAACAACAACAACAACAACAATAATAATGGAGCTGGTAGTGCTGGACAACATCAGCTCATAGCACCCTCATCACAGCCAACATTGACTGGTGGCAATCACATGTACAATCCAAATCAAAGCCTCGATGGTAAATTGTGGGCAGCCAATTCCACTACCTCCAGCCCTAAGGCATTCAATTTTGGTGAACAATCGAGTCAATCGCATGGTCAAAATCCTGGACCAACACCGTCAACTGGTACATTAAAAACTAGTCCAATGATAAGAGACTTTGTACAGTCTGTTGATGATCGTGAGTGGCAGGCATCGCTTTTTGGTTTATTGCAGAATCAAACGTACAATCAGTGTGAAGTTGATTTGTTCGAACTTATGTGCAAAGTGCTCGATCAGAATCTCTTCTCCCAAGTTGATTGGGCGAGAAATTCAGTTTTCTTCAAGGATCTCAAGGTTTGTTTTGATATTTTTATTTATTGTTAGGGAAGATTGGGGTAAAGTGGACACCTTCGACTTTTTTTTAGCTCATTGCACTGATAGAGAGGATTAGTTATTGTTGACAAATGGATTTAACGAATCTCCACGAAGAGAAAGAATTGTGTATCCCTTGAAACAAATATTACCCCTTTCACTAACAATTTAATGAGTTATTAACGTTGAAAAGTTGCCCTGCTCGCCCCTAAATTCATAGAATATTGTGGAAACATATTGTAGTTTCATGACAAGTCTTGTAGTTATGTTCAAAAGAGTGACATTGCGTTGGGATTAAGGGAAAAAAGCTTAAGAAATGCAACAGAAGAGAGAATTAAGAGTAAGAACCTCACGAAATGTCAAATTTCAGGTGTAACTCAAGTGAATTCAATTTTTTTCGAGCTAGAAGAATACAAAAATTTCACAACTTACTTGAATATTCAATTAGATATGAATATTCAGTTCCAAAAGTATTTGAATCACCAATGAACCCAAAATTTGAGAATATATTCCCCTGAATTTTCCCAAAGTTTCCCAATTTTCACTGGATAATTGAAAATGAGCAAGTGCTTTATCCATAACGAGATTTCCTGAAATTTCAGTGTGAATATCCCTTATTACCAATTTCCTGAGTTCAAAATAAGCACTTCCAATCCAGTATTTTATGTCAGTAAATCCGTGGAGTTCAATTAATTAACTTCCTCCAAGTTATCAATCCATTCGAAAAAAGTCGAAAGGGTTTATTCAACTGTCCACCAGTCTCCCCAGCAGTTTTAATAATTTAATCCCACTTTATTCATAATATTATCAGTAATTGTAAGGCAAATGATATTAAACCAAGTGGATTATAAGGTGGTAAGACTCTCTTGGGTTAGAGAGAACCCGCGAGCACTGTGTTGGGATGTGAGGTAACCAACTCGGTTGTTGCACAATCGCTGAATGATTTCAAGCATCGCCTCATATCTGGGTCATAACAAGCTACGGTTTCTAGGTTATTGTAGCCGTCCCCAAACACTTTTGATTACTCACATTGAGGATCAATTGTCATTGAATCATCGTTGAAAAATTCTTTCTCTTGTATACATAATTATTAGTTGCTTGCTGAGTTGTCGGTATCTTAATGCCAAACTTACCAGGTGCAACGATAAACAGCTCAATTATTTTTAATTATCCGGGGGACGGCTGCTATCACTCCACGGCCAATTGTCGTTATCTTGAGGTGTACACCCCATATGACGGAGTTTATAACGCCAGAATGTTTGAATGTCAGTTACAGTTTTTTCTCAATGACGAGAAATGATTGAAGACTTGTGGAAGGTATTTACTCATGAACGATTATCTGGAAAATCACGTTGTTTCATCATTAACTAAAATGGAACATGAGTTACATTGTTAGTCAATTCTTCATTACCAATTGCCCCGGTCAATTAATAATTAATAATCATTATTATCATTAATTATTAATTAATAATAATAATTACTATTCTTATGAGTATTAATTATTAAGTTTATTAATAATTTGGCATTGTTAGTTATTCCTTTGGATTTTGCTGAATATCGTAAGACCGATAACAGGTTCTCTTACACTGTTAGAGAAAATTAAAGGAACTAGAGGATTTTTACGTATGTCAGGGTGAAACAATCATAAGTATAAATCTTTCTCAGTTGCGAATGAGTTTGTACATGACTTAAATGCATTTGGACAGCCCTAGACTCGGGTAAATAGAATCTTCTGCTGGCGAATCTTTCGCTAGTTTCAGTTTTTTCTCATTTTCAGGGGATTGACATTCAATTCGATTTAGGGATAAAAATTTCATATTTCAGTGAACAATTCAATGAATTTTCACATTTTTGAATATCATGAAGACGAGAATTCTCCAACTCACTTGAATTTTCAAGCAAAACCTGGACATTCCCTGAATTCTATCAATTTTCACGGAATAGCTGAAGTTAAATCAAAGTTTTCACCTATTTTCCCACAGGAATGCTTGAAATTTGAGTGGAACGATAATGTGAACACAATATTCGATAAGTGTAACGAGTATTTCAGCCAAAAATTCTGATACGTATGAGAATTTATGTTGCTTTCATTTGCCTTCTGACATCATCAAACGATTAGTTTCCCATTCCCTAATGAATCCATTAACTCGCTAGGTTGATGACCAAATGAAGCTGCTCCAGCACTCTTGGTCGGACATGCTGGTGCTCGATCACCTCCACCAGAGGTTACACAATAACCTACCAGACGAGACAACCCTCCACAATGGCCAAAAGTTTGATCTCCTCTGTCTCGGCCTACTGGGTGTACCTTCCTTAGCCGATCTGTTCCACGATCTGTCACAGAAGCTTCAGGAGCTCAAGTTTGACCTCTCTGACTACATATGCATCAAATTCCTCATGCTGCTCAATCACGGTAAGACGAGGAAATTATCAACAACGGATTCTCGCTATTTAGACATTTTTATTTCTGACATTTTCCAGACGTACGAGGACTGGTGAACAAGAAACACGTCCAGGAGGGCCATGAGCAGGTCCAACAGGCACTCCTCGACTACTGTCTGACGTGTTATCCATCGATACCGGTAAGATAATTACCTCTATTAATTTTTAATAGCCATAAACATGAGAGTGAGAGGAAAATTTCAATGAGAACAGCAAGAAAATAATTATAATGATCTTTAAACTGTTCATCAATGGCTAGAGAAGACTAATCAACCATAAATGAAGTGGAATGTTGAATTGTGCACCTGAAGATGAATTGAATTATGAAAAATGAAAGAGTGATAAAAAGTGTTGAGGGGACAACATTTATTTCATGTGCAGAATAACTTCAATGATCAAACAATTGTGCAAACGATGAATTGAATTACTTAAATGACAAAGTGAAAGTAAAAAACGTTGGAAAACCAAATTATATTTGATGTGCAGGATAAATTCAACAAGCTGCTGGCAGTATTACCAGAGATTCACGTGGTGGCAAGCAGGGGTGAGGATCACCTTTATCAGAAACACTGCAACGGTGGTGCACCAACCCAAACTCTACTAATGGAGATGCTTCATGCTAAGAGAAAATGAAATATAACGTGGAGTCCATTATATCGACGCTTATTGTGTCTAGTAAGTCCCGGTTATTGTCCCCAAACTAAAGACAAATTGTACCTAAAGGGAGTACCAGCGGGAGCTTAGGTTTCATTGGACCAAAAATAAGCAAATGTTAGGGGGGAAAAAAAAAGATGAGGAATGACGGGGGGGAAAAATGAAGTAAAAAATGGCTCTCTGACTCCCTATTCTCCTTTTCTCCAATTTTTCAGTGGAAAAAATAAAATAAACAAATCTAAAATTCATGTGCAAAAAGAAATTTCAAAAATTTTCTCGACGAAAATTCGTTTTTTCAAATATCATACGATTGATAAATAGATTGTATTTTTCAGCGGGGGATTGAGAAATGAATCAAGTGTAGTTATATTTAAAAAAATGAAAAATGAACACATGTATTTAAATATATAAACATAACATATATTTTCTATATTTGATGTTCAAGTTTTAGAGATGTATCTGAGGGGTAAAAAAAAGAAACACATGAAAACAAGAAAATTCAATGCAGTCAACAAAACCCAACCCAACGAGTGATTAAAAAAAATCTATAAACCAGAAAATTAATAGTGAAACGTCCCCCCTCCACCGAGCACGTAGCCTCACGAGGTTGGCGGGTCGATATTAAAACAAGCGCAGGGAAAAACCGTAAGCGAGATGCCTTGAAAACAGTACAAAGGGTGGTTAGACGATGGAAGAATAAAAAAAAATGTGAAAAATAAAAATGAAAATTTATTGGTCAAAGGGCAGGCAACTTTTGTCTAAATAAGTAAAATACTATTTTTCTAATAATCTAGAGGCAATTATTTTTAAGTGTACCACTGAAGCCTTGCTCTCACTGACGACTAAACAAAATTCAAATCACAATAATCAAACGTTATCATTTTTTTTTACAATTGACGTGAATTTTTGAATGCATTCAATGTTGCAACTTGTTGTTTTTTTTTTTCGTTTATTTTTTATCGCATTATGATTTTTCTTGGTTCTCTGGAGAATTGACAATATTTTTTACTGCTGACGGAAGAATTGCGAGTAGATAGAACCGGGACTCTAATTTTATTTAATCATCTTTCACTCTTAATTCAATGGAAAATGAAAGTGAAAATTAATTGGCCGTTTGTGCTACTCTTGCAAGGGGATTCAATGGGCATAATTTCTTTTTTTTTGAGTTGTTGACATATTAAAGCAGAGGAATGAGAAAAATGAGGGGAGAGAGATGAAAATTGTGATGCGTTTGAAACGCCATGGCAATATTTATATATATATTTTTGTGTGGGTTTTTTGACAGATGAAAACAAAATTGAGGCAAATTATTACTTTCGGCCCAACTGAGGGCATCCCTACTTCCTGATACGAGATGTTTAACAATTTGTTCGAGCAATGTTTTTCTTTTCGTTTTTTTTAAATCTGCATTTTTCTCACACTTGCACAACAAGCAGGGCTACTATAATTGTAAATATTAGTTAACACATTCCAATTACGTTGTATAGAGTTAGAATGATAAAAAACATGAAAAAAACTACAATTGATAAAAACAAAAACATTAAGGACGAAGAGAGAGGATTAAGCATCATGTTAAATATGTAATTATGATATTTTGTGTATAGTTTAAATGAAGGAGAAATAAAAGAAGGAAAAATATATATATTTCTGTTGCTTACAAAAGAGGAAGAAAAATAAAGAGAAAATAAAATCATTAGCTACTTAATGTCTTCACTAATTTTTAGGAGAATTAAATTAATGAGAAGGAAAATTTTCATTAAAACTTTTACTTTTTTTTTGTTTCTACTTTTTTTTTTCACGAAAAAGTAAAGAAAAAAAAATACATAGGTGGCGGAATGAAAAACGGTAAAACAAAAATAACAACACACATTTTACATAAACACGACACACAAATCGCGATATTTTATTACTTGTATATTGTAAAATAAATAAAGAATTTTATGTTAAGTATGAGAAAGTAAGAAGACGTCTAACAAAAAAAATGAATGAGAAAATAAAGGAAATTTAATAAATTCATCATTGGAGCAAGGTTTATGTGGTCCCATTATAATTATCTAAATAGTTTATTAATATTCATTAAGAAATGATGAGGATAAAAGATTTATGAACTAAGAAACTATCATTGTCTTATTGCAGTTGTTAACTATAATTAATGAAGAAGAACACTATTTACTAAATGTTAAGGGAGAGAAAATTATATTTAGCTGAGGACAAATGGATGAGAAAAAATACCATTAAAACACAAAACAACCACGAAGATGCGAGGAAATAAAGATACCTTCGTTTATTTTTCACTAAACGTAGATTAACTGTTTAGCAGTCAACTCAGATATGATGAACAAAATATAAAAATAATTCTTTCAGTGCTGTGAGGGCCGTCATATTTTTTTGAGGCCTGTGGGTATCTAAAAGCCATCGGTTATATTGTAATTGTGCTAGAAACAAATGAAAATTTTCACGAGTGTTATGAGAGACAACTCATCATTGAGATGTGGAATCTTTGCTCGATGACAAGTGGTGCAGAGGCCATTTATTTGAAATTTTGCATAAAATTTTTTCGTTCTTGAATATCAAACTTGAAATATTAGACGCATATTCCCTTATTTAAATTTTTTAATTGCTCCTAGCTTCTTAATATTCAATTATAGTCGAATTAATTGTTTTCATTAAAGAATTAAGAAGAAATAAATTTTCATATTTCGTTATTATATTAAATGAACAAATTTTGTGCGATATTTCAATGAAATCATTAAAAAACTAATCACAACGATTCATAAAAATTAAAATAAATGAAGTGCGCGCAGCGGGGATGTACCTGAAGAGTGTTTTGCGACTTGATATAACAAAAAAAGCTCCTCTTGTAATAACTAGCTACGAAATGTACGTAAATTTAATTAGTCTAAACTAGGGAGAACGAGTGTTTCAGGAATATTGAAGAATATTATATTTTTTGGGTGTTGATTAAAATCACGTACACAAAACACTTGTATGAATACACGAGGAAAAGAGGATTGCACCACGGAATCGTCCTTGATTGACATATCGAGTGGGAGCCACCAGTGGAAGTGATAAATACTAAAAAATGGAGCAAGGATTCCCTCGAGTTCACTCGCCTCTGCGATATTACACAGAACATAAACCCAACGAACAAAAAAAAACGTTCCCAAAATTATCAAATCCGGTATAAGTTTCATTGCACTGCGCAATTTGGCCATTGACAGTTCAACTCATTCACGCGGAGAAAAAAAGTCAACGAAAAATTGCAAAACCACCAGGAGAATGCAGCAAAAATTACTGAACAAAAGGGAAAATTGGACTTCTCATTCTTCCCTTCATTTCGAACAAAAATTCTTGAAAAACAATTTCACTCTCTATTGCCCAACTTGTACAGTAATTTTTCATGATCTTCTTCCTCCGCGCAATTACCAATTACCCCCCATCGATTGCGAGGAAGCAGACAATTTTTTTTCACGAAAAAATGTTTTCAAAAGAAATTGAAGGAAAATATGAGATGAATATTTTCACTGACTCTGACGCGATTGACTACCTCTTCATTAAGTGTATTAATTTTTTATACTTTCACATCTCTAGTAACCACATACCTCATATCAGTGAAGTACACACTCTTAACACGTTAAAGGGCCCCCTACGATCGATTGTCGATGGAAGAGATTGAGCAGCAGGATGAGCACGATTTAACAAATTGGCGTTATCGTTGAAACTTTCCAGTTTTGAGCCCTCCATGTATTTTTAATTGCCAAGTTTCATGGAAAATCGATAATCCCTGTGATCGTGATCACTCTGCTGTTTGTTCTGGGTTCGTACCATTTAATATTTGTTTTACCATTAAGCCAACATTATTTATTTTTAATCCTCCAATCTTCGTTTGTCTCTTGACAATTGGATTTGCATGATTTTTTAAATTAAATGATGAAATACAAATAATTGATGGAAAATATTGAATACTTTTTATCCAGTGTTTTTTTTAAATTTTATTCGTCAAAAGGAGTGATATGTTTTGAATGATAAAAAGAACTTCATGCAACTTCCAATTAAACATTGCATGTTTTAGAACGTCTGCCGGTCTGACAATTTTCGGAACAGTACAGCCTTTTACCTCGCACCCAACAGTAAATCAATTTGATTAAACACGTGTCGAGCCCTTGATGAAAATTGGTATTTGATTGCAAGAAGGGGAAAGGGCTGGCACAATTAACGAGTGAATTAGGAAGAGTACTCAACAGCTAAAAGCCTTTTATCTCAGTACGACGAGACACGTCCATTGTCTATTTAATCGTCCGATCAATTCCATAAATCGACACTCGTTTTCATCGACGAATGAAAAAAAGAAACTGTAAATTGTGAAACTAGCAGGAAAGAGAAGAAGCCATTAAAGTCTCCACGAAATACTTCATGAGGGTGTTTATTGTACATTGTGTGAAATAATCGATGTACAGTTTTATTATTAATCGGCGGAGGATGAATAATATCTAAAATCAATTGATTACTCTAATTTAAATATTTGATGTGACTAAAATCCAAAAATATAGTGACAAATTTATGAAAATTGCTTACTCGATGGAATTTAAAATTTACTGAGAATCAGGGGGGGTTAAAATACAAAAAAACAGCAAGTGGAGAACACAAATCATAATAATATAAATATAAAATACTTTGTGCGTTGTTAACACTGCCGTTGAGCGCTGGCAAATTGTAAATTATGTAGAAAAAACATGATGCAGAAAAAAATGAAAAAGGTGAAGATTCATTGACTGTAAATATATATCTTTATTATTAACATGAAAACGAGGTGATGTTCATCTTTGCAAATATTCATTTTCTTTGAAATTCGTTACCTTAGGTTATTTTTTATTGAACGTAGAATAACTGTTTAGCAGCGGAGCGAGATGAAAGGATAAAGTGGAAAATAAAACAGAGAATAATTATTTTGTTCGAGGCCTGTGGGGAACCGCAAGTCATTCACTAGTATTATGAGACGAAATTAATCATTGGCATGTGGAGTATAGTCTCGATGATAAGTGATGCGGAATTCGGATTTGACGTAGAATTTTTTTAATTAATTTTTTTTGAATTAATTAAAATATTAATTCAATTATTTTTTTTAATTAATTTTTTTTTTATTCAATGATAAATATCAGAAACGTATTCTTTCATTGTGGCCAATGATTGAAAATTGACAAATCATTAACGACTTTGGATTTCGGAATGTTTTGATGTTAGAATGCACATTTTTCTGCAATTGGCCACGACTTCTATTTTTCATTTTCTGTATTTTTTATTCAAATTTTTTAAAAATGAAATTTTTTCAAGTGAACAGTGAAGATTTATTCACTGTAAAAATACATCTGTATTTTTAACATAACAAAGTGGTAATGTTTATCTTTGCGAATATTCATCTCCATTAAAAATAAAATAAAAGATAAAAGAATAAAACATTGAAAAAAAAACTATAAAAATAATTTACAAAAAAGAATACGCATCCAATATTTCTCATACAATAAAAGATTCATCAATTAAAAAGTAACCAATCATTGACTGTAAACATACATCTTTATTATCAATATAAAAACGAGGTCATGTTTGTCCTCGCAAATATCCATTTCGATTAAATATTAAAATTCCTATTAACAATAATATGATTTCGTCGGTCATACTATCAATATCAAAATATCTAAATTTCAACTCCACCGAAATCATTGCGATCGTCTCGTTGTGATGTTTCGTCAGAGGAGCCTCGAGACTGAAGCAGTTGTGACACTGTTTATCAGAAATAACAAAAAAAAACAGATAATGGGAGCGAACCCCCGTGGTCGGTTCCCAGATCATTCAGTCAAATAAATAATCCCTAAAAGCTTTCGCAATCGACGAAGTCGATTTTTCATTGCGAGTGTCAGTTAATGTGGATCGGATTTCAAGAATTCCTCGTAGGACTTTTCATTCATTAATTTCGCTATTTCATTGGGCGTGGAGAGTTCGATTTTGAAGAGCCAGCCCTCGGTGTAGCACGAGGTATTGATGAGGCCTGGTTTATTCTCAACAGCTTCATTTTTCTCCACAACTTTTCCACTCACTGGGCTTATCACCTCGGAGGCTGCTTTTACAGACTCGAGTGCACCTACTTCCTCTAAAAATACATGAGATCGAGGGGTTCAATGGATTTAATTGTTCGAATGGAAAAATATAAATAGGGAAGGAAGTGGCGACGAACAGGGTGAGGCTGATCATTTGAATATCAGTTATTTGGAGATATTTCGGAATTCTCATGGGAGATAACGAAGTTTTTCTAGAAGAAAATGAGAGCTATCAGAAAGGGCGTCCAGAGGATGCCAGTATTTTTGGAATTCGAGACAATTCCATTATCTACTTTAAATTCACGAATATTCATTAATTAATTTTTTTTAAAGATATCCGATTTTTTTTAAGATATCAAATTGACAATTAAATTGTATAAGGAAAAAATTATTTTTTTAAACATTCGTTGTTTATAAATAAATAATTGAAATTGTCTAAACTTTCGGAAACCTTTTTTCTTAGGCATGAAATCGATTTCTGGTAAAATTCTGAATATGAATAAATTGAATAAATGTGAATAAATGATTTTTATGGTGGAAAATTAATTGTTTATATTTTTGCAAAATGGACATTTTCATCATTTTTTAAATGTTCATAACTCAGAAGTAAATTCATTAACTGAGTTCAGTCTGGACCCGGCATCGGCAAAAATTGTTATTAATAAATTTTAAGCGAAGTTCCTTACGTGTTGATTTAAATTTGAAAATAATTTTTGATTCTGAATTATAATTAAACAATCAATTCTAAATTTCTGAATTTGATTTTTCAGTTAATCAAATAATGATCATTCTTACGAAGTTGATTACTGCTTTATAAAATACTTAAAAAATTGAAAATGTTAAATAATATTTTAAAAAGGCACAATATAGTGACCTCATCTTACATGTAATAAAATAATTTAAATTCTGTATTATGATTTTGTCTATCTCGGGTCTGGACCTATCCAAAGAGGAACAATTGTCCTTTACAAGGAGAAAAATTATTCAACAGTGCAATTAATCATCAACATTTTTAAAATTCAAAAGTGTCCATATTGCCCCACTGTCCCCTAATAGTGTTTTATACCATCCTGTTTGACTTCCGTCCCTACATCAGGCAATTGTGCATAGACAACGTCCCCAAGTGCATCCTGAGCGTAATCGGAGATGCCGACAGTGCCAATTTTCCCGTTTACCTCCACCCACTCATGTTTCTCAGTGAACCACCTCTCTGAATCATCAAATGAGTCAATTAAATCGGCCCCTGCAGCTCAGGTGCCTTGAAAATAACGTGTAAATTCAAACATTACCCGCCCTGGAGACTGGTGTCGTGGCGATCGCCCTCACGTGCGCAAAACCACTGGATTTACAACAAGAATTAACAATTTTCACTCCCTGCGTGCACGAGAATGATCTCAAACTTTGCCTGACTAATTGGCTGACGAGTTGTGCCATTGTGGAACGAATGTCGTTGAATTTTTATCAGAGAATCTAATGCTTTTGGGGCCTCTAGCCTCTCCCCAACAGACCGCACCGCGAGAGCCTGAAAATTGGAGTGCAGGCAACCGCGTGACTCAAGCGAATGACGAAAATCGAATGATAGAAAAACACTCAACGGCCTTTACGATCTTTTGGGTTGTCTTGTGGCACACGACCTTTCTTATCAATTGGACAATCGATAAGAGTCTTCTGACCCTCGGAATACACTGGCAAATATTATTCCATGGTCGGGAATAAATCTGAAATATAGTTATTTAAATTGGATGGAAAATTGTTTCTATTGCTCTATCATTTTGTTGCACAATCAATTCTGTCTGCACATTAAATTATTTTTTCTATACAGTAATTTCAAATGTTTCTTCTCTTTCATATGGTGAAGATTGCCAATAGAATGCACTCAGAAATCCGCGGATAAAAAATAAAGAGAATACCTCTAATGCGCCTATAAATTGAATGAAAATAAATCTCAACCCTCGAAATTAATAAAAAATCACTAGAATTGTCTACAAAGAGCAATTATGAACCGCGCAATGGCCTGAGTAGGAAGAATTTTAACTACTGAAAAAACTTGAAAAAAAAATTATCGAATAAAAAATTTTTTTTCTGAATTTTTACAGATTTCATCGTCTATCCTATCACTTCTTTACACAATTGTTTAGTCTGTTTGCAGATAGAGTTATTTACCGAATTTTTTAATTTTCCTCGCGTATTTCTTTCCTCATTGTGAAAATCAAAGAAGGAATATATACTAAGAATGAAAAATAGGAACTTAAAGTAAAGATACCTCCGATGCACTCATAAATTGAAAGAATATGAGCGAAAGGTCACTTGCTCATCAATCTCAGCTCTTAAAATCTGCACGTTAATGAAAATCATTGGAATTGTTCCATTTATCATTGCAACGATGACGAAGAATCATGGATTCATATAATACCCCCGAATTTCATTCGCGAGAGAACTAAAGATATATTGTCTTATCTCAACAACACGTGAGGTCAACAGTTCACTCGTGTTTATCATTGTTTTGAAAGCGTGTTTCGTACTCGGCCAACGCAAGAGTTACATTCTTTCCGATGTGACTAGGATACGATAGTCTTTTACCAAAGATGCGTTAAACAAAAGTTCTTAGACACGAAAGACCAAATGAAAAAACTGTAGACAAATGCGCCCATATTTTTGTTCTCTCCGATAGAATACAAGTTTATTACAAAAGCATAATTAAATATAGAAGTTTTCGAACATGACATTTGGCTCTTATAATTAATTCTCCTCTATTTCCCTTCTTCGTGATCTCCTTGTCCCTTAATCAAAATAATTGTCCAAGAGAAACTAAAATATATGGTAATCCATCATAACATGAGGAAGAATGGAGAAAAATGGATCTATCCACTTCACTAACAGAAATTCACAGAAAGAAATAGTCTGGCTTTGATTCATAAATTCGAAACAAGAATTGATTGATAAATTCCCAACCACGTTGTTCTCGCCGAGGGAATTACTAGCCATTAAAGAAGTATCATTTTGCTCAATCGCATATCGACAACGCACAGCGTCCAGTCAAAACGATCAGATGTCCAACAGGCAAAGAAAGAAGTGAAAAATAATAAAATTAGGAAAGCCAAGACATGATCAATCAATACAGTTCAATGGTGGAAGATCTTCCATTAGGATTGTGAATAGCCACAGGAACAGGTTTACTCAGAGTCCACTCATACCATACATTCTTGGACGTGCACCTCCTCCAGAAGTGCACCTTAATTTCATCCCCAGCCTTCAACTGAATGGGTTCCTTAATAGGAAAGAAAATGGGAAACCAGCTCAGCATTCCTTTACTATGAGACTCCGGGACAATGCTCAACCTGACATTATCAAACAGAACCACATCGAAGTACCCAGAGAACCCGTGCAGCACACTGTTCTGCTGAACCATGAACGTCCTGACATCATATCTCGAATTATCGATGATGGAGTCCCTATTGGGATGTGAGAACGTGAAGAGAGGCTGGACAGGTGCGATGTCATATTTGCTCTGGAGATAAACCACGTGAGGGGTTTCAAAGTTGGCGAGTGGGCCCTTCTCCTTCTCGTAGAACGCCTTGAGACCCTGATAAAGCTTAGCGGATTGCACAGGTGCTATGTAGGAGGTGTAACGCTGGGGAATGCTGATGCCATCGTCCTTGAGGAAGTTCTGGGCGCCATCCAGGCACTCTGGCGAGAGTTCATTGTCCCCGAAGGAGCCGAGGAGCTCTGACACAAGGATATCCGCCATCTCCGGACTCTTCCAGTCCCTCATATCACAGGCAACGATAGTCACCCTCGGCCCAAAGACGTCTGTCTTGAGGGCGTGAAGGGTCACAATGGCGTTGGGGTTCTTCTCCACTGCGTAAACTCGAACTCTGGCTTTTGCCATGTCTGCTGCCTGCAGGGATGCACGAACCAGGGGACCTCGACCAGCACCGACCACTGTTATTATCAATTCTCTGTTGGATTTGATGGAGAACGACTGCTTCGAGGCATCTTCGGTGTCTGGGGAGTCGTTGGGTTGAGATTGTGGGGTCTCTCTGCGGCTTGACCTCATCTTGTGGAGGATTGCTTGGAAAATGGCGTTTTGGTACTCGGTGTACTTGACTGGATCTCCCTCGAAGACCTCGTAGGTGCTGGAGTCGAGGTTGTCCTTGAGCGGCTGCAGGGGCACCTGGAGGTAGTCCTCGTAGCCACGACAGAAACGCTCGAGAGGTCCATCAGATGCGTATTCTCTCTGCAAGTTTATGGCAACATGAAAATGTTTTTAGCAAGGGGATTTTTTCGGAGATGAGAGTTTCAAGAGGAAATGGAGAGAGAAATTTTTTGCAATTAAAAATATTTTGAGCAACTTTTTTTATGACTGAGGAAGAACAGGGCTCCGACAATTGATTAATTGACTGTTCACAATTACTTTCGAGAGGAAATGTCAAGATTATTCAACATTGAATAGACGTTTATATTGAAATTGTTCTTGAAAACACGTTGTGTTAAATTGACGTAATTAACTGTAATGAAATTAATAATAAAAAACATGTTGAAAATTCAACGCACTGTTAAAAAATTTTATAACATTATAGTTCCACTGAAATTTCAAGTGTCGTCATTGACAACTCAAAATTTAGTGAAAACTGTCAATTATAGTTTAATTATTCTGTAAAAATTAATAGAATTTAGGGAAAATTGGTCAAATATATTCTTCAAGCTTCAATTTATCGAAAATTCAGCGTAATTTAATAATAAACATTCGTGTTTTGATAAAAAAAATTCAAATAACTTGAAAAATTCAGTGAAAATTGAAATTACAAATTTTTTTCCAAAACTGCAATTTCAATCACTATTCAATGTCATTTACCCACCCAAAAATGTATTGAAAAGTTCTCCCAAACCCATTTGTCTCCATTCACCTCCCAAAAATGTGAATTAAATACTTCTAAATTTCTCACCTTCCACAAATGATCTAAATAGTTCTGATAGAATGCGATTTTATCAGCCCTGTTAGCTCCAGTGATGATAAACCGAACATTGAGACCGCAGAATCTCTGAATGAGGCTCTGATGAGCCTTGGAGAGCACTGGGAATCCCTTCTTATTACTCAAGAAGATGGTGGTGGGTAGAATGAGTGCCCTGACGGGTTCTCCAATCCACCTGTTGATCTCCGCCTCGTCAGGAAGGTCTGAACTGACGACGAGGGCCACCCTGAGCTTCTTGTCAGTGTCACAGGCGTTCCTGAAGCCATTCCACCACTCCCAGGGGCTCTCACAGGAGACTTCCTCGTCAGTGCGATATGACAGGCATTCCTTCAGAGGATTCTCCATCGGGACTTGAATCAGGAACTTGAGGGTTGAAGCTGTCATCATTTTGTCGTAAATTAACCTCGCGAGGTTCATGTTCTGGGTCAGAGGTCCATTCAGTTTAAAAGTAACTGTCATTATCCCCAGGTGAGTGGCGAATGAGAGCTCTTGATTCAGCGAGGCCTCACTGTTTCCTCTGATGTGTGCAATCGGGGAGTCCACGTTTATGCTGGGGGAGAGCTTTCCAATGATCAGGCGATTCCAGTCCGAACTTTTCAGCATGAGGTCTGGCCTTGTGAAGGGACCCTCTCGGTTCTTCGATACACCTGAGATAAATTCCTGGATGTACTGGGGGTGCACCATTGGAGTCATTATGAAGAGGTAACTGAAATGAGATTTTTTTTTGTTCAACGCCCGGACGAATTATCTTTGCTGTTTTCTCGATTATTTTTCTATCTTCATAATCTTAAATTTCCATTGGACTTCACATCACGAGTCCCTAAAAATTATGATCATGCAAACTGTTAAAAACTGCGGTATATTTTACATTATGAAGATGGAAAAACAATTGAGATAACGTTCAAGAGATAATAATCCACCGGGGCCTTAAAGTCAAGAACGCATGGTATAGCGATTTTGTTTTATAGCAATCCATTCCAGAGTTTAATGTTACCGAGGGTTCGCGAAGTGGACGTAACCGGTATGTGAACCCCAAAATACAAAATAATAAAATTAATTTGACAAAGTCGCACTTTTTTAGGTGGACCCTATAGAGTGAAACTAAAAATTCGTGGCTTTAAATTATTTGTCTGAAATGCGGTTAAGGCAAGTAATTTAAATTTTAATGCAAATAATTTTAATTTAATTTTTTCAAGTCTAGATGGTTCCCCTCTAAAGTTTGAGGAATTGCTGAGGACTTACTTGGCATCATAGGCCGCTCTCAGGCAAGTGTCAACGTCAGGGACTGTCGCGTAGTCCAGACCACAGACCATCTGTCGCGGTGGTCCTGCCATTTCGTATTATTTATTTTTTCCTACCTGGAAAGCAACAATTTGGCGGAGTGAGATCTTTTGAAGGTCAATGCCGGCCTTTAGGTTACAATTATGTTTAGAGAGTTTCTGGGAATAGTTGCAGTTTATTTACCTGTTTTATAGCAAGAAATCGACAGCAGAGTATTCCTGGTGGTTTCAATTAGGTTCCATTGTCGAGGTGGAATGTTTAATGCTAGAACAACGCAATTTTTTTATTTGTTTGAGGCAGCAACTGCCATGGACGGGAACAGCTTGCACATGTGCGCGGGGATTGCACGTGCAATTGCGGACGACAGTCGGTAGGGGGCGAGTGGTAAATCACATTTGATTTTTACACTGCGGTATTCGCATTCTTTTTTTTTTTGCTTTTTTCAAATACATTTAAGAGTTCTGGATAGCCCGTCGATTGAATCATCGGAATAAACTCACAGATTATCAAATATTCTGAATTTCTCAATGAGTTCCATATAACTGGTCATTTCGATTTTTCAACTGAGGTATTAGCATTCATCTTTTACTTTTTTCAAATACTTTGGAGAGTTCTGGATAGCTCGTCACTTGAATCATCGGAATAAACTCATAGATCACTGAATATGCTGAATTTCTCAATGAGTTCCATATATAGAAAGGAGATTACATCTTGAGTCTGCGTCATGAATTTCTCTTTCGGTTTTTCATTATCACAATGTCACACAGCGATTCGCGCTTTTTACTTTCCGTCTCCCCATTCATTAGAAGAATGTTCAATGCAGCAATGAATTCGTAAATTGAATACGACTTTAAAAATAAAAGCGCCACCAACGGCCCCCAATTTTTGAACTATTGCATTCAATTATGCTATGTAGTGTCACCTAGAGATCAATCTAGAAAGAAAAAATGTCTTGGCACGAGAAGCAATGCCAAATATTTGTCACAGGTCAATGTCTCATGTCATTCTACTGCCCTCAACACACGAACTTCAGCCCAACATTATATTCTTCAGTCGCACTTCCTCCTCCCATTCGAATACATCACTGTTCATTGCGCGATAAAGTAATTCTGGATGACAATGGATGAGGATTACCTTTGCATTGACCTGAAGGATTGTGGGGCGAGTGATCTGTCGTCACTTCGGAAACAATTTACCAAAGCGAGTAGAATAGAAATCGATTGTGATCAATGTGAAGAAGAAGTGAACTACGATAACTTGAGTTCATTGCTTCAGAGCCACAGCGACAAACTTAATTATATCCAATTGACAAATCTTGGCGAGAAGTTCCAATTAGGGTCTCTGGGGCAGTTACCACTTTCGGTGCGACAGATCCATTGTTATATGCGGGAATCCGAAGAGCCGGCGGATGGTGAGGCAGAAGGCCGTAAATTTCCAGTGAGTCGACATCAATTAGCATTTTAGCAGTGCAGACAATGGGAGAAGCCTTCCCGTATTAAAATGATTGTAAATTATCACTTCTTGCACGTATTGCGGGCGATTTGAATCTGCGCCTGCGCGTTATCAACAATCGGGGCCGCTTTCCCGCAAAAATTCAAGAAGAGGCGGATTTCATTCATTTAATTAGTAGAAGGGATAATTAGCTTCGGAGTTCAAGTTTTAAAATCTCACGAATGATGGAATCATGAAAACAAAACAATTAAACATTAACAAAATTAAACACTCGATTCCATTACATTACTACAAATTATTAATTTATTCTTTTTGAATCAGTGTTGAATCGAATGAGACGACAAAATAAATAAGAATCTCCTCTCTAATTGGAGGAGTGCGTCGTGGAATTCGATTAATCTAATACGATTAATGCTCAATTTATAATAAAAATCGCATTCATCTCTTGGATTCAATGTATTGATGGTGATTTCATCGATTATATTTTCCTTCTCTAGAATTTGTTTGAGTTCAAACAATTGCGAGCTCTCACCCTCAGCGGCTTCAATTTGAGGGAGAACAGCTTAAAGGGAATTGAAGAATTGAAAGATCTATTCTTCTTGGATCTGACGGAGTCCGAGGTGCCTGTAGCGGAACTCGAGAGACTCAAGAAATTGACGAAATTGAAACATGTTTATCTGTCCTCCTGCAATCTTGGTGATAAAACACTTGTAGGTCTTCTATCGACCAATAAGAGCATTCAGGCATTGGATGTCAATTGTGAGTTCGAAAACTAAATGAAATTCACACTTTTTTTGTTAAAATAGAGGGAATCTATAATTTATAATTATAAAAAATTCTTAATTTTATTGTAGTAATTGATAGAAAACATCAATTGTAATTATCATTCGTGATAATAATTGTCATTCTAGGACAAAATATCAATGTAATTTTTTTATTACTCACGAGTCTCTAAAAAATAGTTTTTCGACATTCTCTAATTCTTCACAATTATTACTTCATGAATTTTTTTTCTAATCATTCCAGCGAACGCTGAAATCACGGATCGCTCTATGGAACAAATCAGTACCCTCCGCGACATTCGTATCCTCAACGTAATGAACCTGCCCCTGATCACCGATTACTACCTCGAGGAAATTCGCAGCCTCACAGCCCTGAATTGCCAAAACTGCCCACTGGTCTCAGAACCTGGCCTAATGAAACTCCTCAATCTAGCTGAGAATCTCAGATATTTAGACGTGAAAAAATGTAGAGTCTCCAATGAACTATTAGAAGCAGCTCTCGAAGATGTGAAATCTCGTAGCGCTAAGAAATCATTGGAAATTTCTGTGGATCGAGTTTTGAAGAATAAATGGGATAAATTGAAATGTTCGTCTCCATTGTTAAAAATTACAGACGGAACCGAAGACGATAAATAAATAAAACATTGTGATCAATTATCAACATCTGGTGTCTTCCACTAAAAACGATTTCAATCAATAATTAATTAAAATATATTCAGGAAAAAATTTGGATGATATTCCGCATAAATTAAATACTTTGGAGTGATAATGAACTTTATTGAACTAAACACACTTTTCTCCATGAAAATACTTAAAAAATACTTTAGACTTCCACAAAAGGGAATTCAAACAGTGAGTATTTTCTTCTTCATTTGATCTTCAACTTCTTTATCACTCAATAAGAAGTATAACTTACAATCAGCTTCCTCGTGACACACACTTTCCTCCTTAACAACATAATCATGTTTCTGTACAATCTTCAAATTGGGGACTCTCGTCGTCGCAGCCAGGAAATTAATATTCTCAGCAAACAACCGATAACTCTCTTCCCCCTCCACAACAACATGGACTTCTAAAATGGATTTCCTGCTGACATGGCTCAGAATATTCCTCATTCTCATCACCACTGTCAATACATGTTCAAACTGCTGTTCCAGCGCTTCATTCCGTCGCCCCATCTCCCCCTCTTGGGGATAAGGAGCCTCCATCAACGAGGAGACCTCCAAAAATCCAGAGAGTTTCTTCCTCAGCCTTGAATACAAATCCTCGCTCAGATACGGCATCACAGGAGCAAGCACCCTCAAAGACACCTCCAAACACTTTACCAACGTCCACTTGTGCCCCTCAACAGTGTCCTTATCCCCATTCTTCAACCCAAACTTCGTCCCCTCAAGATAAAAATCACAGAATTCATAGTAAAAGAATTGTCTAACAGCATTAACAGCCCGATAAAAGTTCCTCTCCCTGAAGTTCTCATTGACCTTCTCAACCATCAGCTCCATTTTGCTCAGAATCCACCGATCCACAGTGGAAAGCTTCTTGGGCTCCTCAACCCCCCCATCGTCGGTCACAAGAAGAACATACCTGCACGCCTGCCAGATCTTATTACAAAAATGTTTGTTAGTTTTGCACTCGACAACGTTAAAGCTAATCCTACCACTCTTGATGTCATGAGCACAAAGCGTGAGCCTCAGTGCATCCACCCCACACTCTGGAATTCCCCCCGGAAACATCTTCGAATTAACAGAAAGCGTTCTTTTCAGTTCACTCTTACTCAATATCCCAGAGGCGAAACTTTCCTGCGCCCTATTATTCAGCTCCTCGAGGCTAATTCCATCGATCACATACTCTGGATTAATGACATTCCCCAAACTCTTCGACATCTTCTTCCCCTGAGCGTCACAAAGAACCCCGTGAAGAAGAATCTCCTCGAACGGTAACTGTCCGGTCAACTCCTCGCACAGCATCGCCATCCTGGTGACCCACAGCTGCAAAATGTCGTGTCCAGTCTCCATGAGATTCAGGGGATAAAATCCACTGCAGTCCCCGCTGGGCCAGCCCATGGCAGACAGGGGGAGCAATCCAGCGGAGAACCAGGTGTCCAAGACGTCATTGTCCTGCTGCACGTTCCAACCACTTCCGAATCTGCTGCTCGCAATATCTTGAGCCTCCGAAAGCGTTCGAGCCACAAGCCAATGGCTCTCAGACGAATTCGAACACTTGAAGGCAGGGATTCTGTGGCCCCACCTGCAATAAATCATTGAGTTTGGCGCGGCCCAAGTGATTCTAAACTTTCACGTTTTAATTTGAATATTGTTTGTTGATTTTCGTTTTCAAGGGTTTTCGCACTCTCGGTGAAACTACAGATTTATCGATTTTATTTTTCATTCTTTTAACGTTTCTGAGTGTTTTTTTCTGGTAGCCACACGTATGAAAAAATTCAATAGAAAAACTTAACAAATTCACTAAAAAATTCTGGGGAATTCTCGTTGAAATTCTATTTATTTTTTGGGATTCTATAAGATGTTTGATAGAAAAAGTCAATAGATTTCGATTTTTCTATATGAATATTTTCTTGGAATTTTTTCTATAACAATAGTTGAGCATGAATTTTTTAAATCTTTTTCACTGGGATCCTGCAATGCAAAACGAAACAAAATATAGCGGAAAAAACTTGGAAAATCCGTGCGCAATAGTTTTAGTAGAAAAAATCTCAACAGAAAAGTTCAAATAGAAAAATCGAAATTGATTGATGGAATTAGCCTCGAGGAGCTAATAATAGGGCGCAGGACATTGACTTTTTCGCTAAAGTTTTCTATTGAATTTTTTCATACGTGCATAAATATTACAATATAAAGTAAATGTTTTGTGTGAACTGCCCCACGTTGGGCGCCAAAATTGCAATAAATCAGATCACAAAGGATGGAACTTTGAAGATTTATCACATCACACATAAAAATAAACTGAATAATAAAATCGTTTCAAAAATTTACGGCATCAGCAACCATAAACCAGCCGAATAAATTGAAAATTTACGAGAAAAATGTCATTAGTGAACCCCAACAATTAACTCCCCACCAAACCGCTATTGTCCACAAATAAAAATACGAATCAATAAGATAATCACATACCACAGCTGTCGCGACACACACCAGTCCCTCATGTTCTCCAGCCTGTGGACCCAGGGTTCCTCAAATTTCTCAGGGTCAATCCTCAGGCGATTGTTCTTCGTAGCTTGCAGCACCCTCTCCGCCATTCTCTGGGTCCTCACGAACCACTGCTCCTTGACGAGATGCTCCACAACGTCTCCGGACCTCGAGCAGAGTGGGATCACCATCGGGTGGTCCCTCACAGCCCGCAGGAGTCCTTTGTCCGCCAGGTGATCCAGGATTTTCTGCCTCGCGACGAACCTCGGGAGACCCTCGAAGGCCTTCGCCCTCTCATTCATCGTTCCGTCTTCATTAATCACCTCTATGAGCTCCAGATCGTGTCTTCTCCCGATTTCAAGGTCCGTTCGATCGTGGGCTGGTGTTATCTTCAGAACTCCAGTGCCGAAGTCTCGTTTCACCGAGGAATCCGCGATCACTGGAATGAAGCACTCCCTCAGGGGGTGGAAGACTTCTTTCCCGATGAATTGAGAGTACCTCGTGTCCTCGGGGTGGACAGCCAGGGCTGCATCCCCCAGCATCGATTCCACTCGAGTCGTCGCCACAACCAGCTCTTCAGGAGAATTTTTCACCTTAAAGACAACCTCTGCCACTTCACCGAAGGGAATTTTCTTCTTGTACCCTGGCAGGGGGATTTCAGTCCTCTTGGAGACCTCCAGCAACTCCACCTCGATGTCCGAGATGGTGCTCTGCAGGGCTGGCGACCAGTTGACTAGGTCTTTGCTTCGGTATAACAGGTTTCGATCGCTTAGGGTGACGAAGGCCTCCGTCACAGCTGCGTTGTGCTCCTTGCTCATCGTGAAATACTCTCGTGACCAGTCCAAACTAGCCCCCAAGCCCTTCAGCTGAGTTACGATGGCATTCCCCTTGGTGGTCTTCCATTCTTCGATGGCTGAGAGGAACTCCTCCCTTCCCATTTGTTTTCTCGTGACGCCTTTGGTGGCCAAGAGGTACTTCTCCACTGCTGCTTGCGTGGCTATGCCAGCGTGGTCCAGCCCAGGCACCCAGATAACTGACTCTCCTCGCATTCTGTGCCATCTTGCCAGGACGTCTTGGATTGTAACCGTCAATGCGTGCCCCAGGTGCAGAACTCCGGTCACGTTCGGAGGGGGCAGGATCATCCTGAAGGTTGCTGAGCCATCCTTGGGTGTGAAGTAACGGTTCGTCTCCCAGACTTTGTTCCAGTGCTCCTCGACGCCCCGGGTCTCGTAGGTGGGTGGAAAATCTGGGGGAGAATTTAGCGCGATATGGCGACGTGTACGAAATAATGTCAGAAAAAACCACCGAATTCGCTAGAAAACTTCAGATTTCTAGTGATCTTTCTATTCGTTTTCGACTGATTCTATTGAAAAATTCAGCAGCATATCTACTCGTTTTATTTTCAATGGAAATGTTTAATGGAAAAATTTGAATACAAATAGTCAATAGATAAATTCTTCTATTTAATTTTTTCAACTGGTTTTGTTTGATTTTTTCGAAAATTCATGTTGAGGAAATTCCTATCGAACAGATCTCGATAGAAAAAGTTGCATAGAAGGATGAAATTCTATTGATTTTTTCTATAAAATACTTTCTATTGGATTTCAAAAAATAGTTTATAATTATTATGAAGATTTTTTCTGTCAATCTCACTCTGCTCTACAAAAAAGGGGATTTCATCCCGCAAATTTCACTATCCCTCACACCTTTTAAAATATTCGAAAATTCTCAGGATCGAAATCGGTGATTTTCCATTATCGTTCAATCCAACCAAGCAATCCCTACACTTAAAAAAATTTTAGCCGAAGTTTAATTATTCCATGACAATTGCTAAGAGTCAGGAAAATTCAGGTAAATATATTCTCAAATTTCCAATAAATTGAATACTCAGCGTTGTTTAGTACTGGAAATTTAAATAAATTGAGGAATTCTCCATAACAATTTTGCGAACTGTATTAAATTGCAAGATAATTTCCAAACTTCGTTAACGTTAACTAAGTCATCTTCTTTCACCACTTCAATATTGCCTTATAATTACTCGAACTGGAGAAAAGTATTATTATTATTAATGAAAAATTTTAATGCTCACCGGCGACACGCGCCTCGTTCAATTTGTAACAATAGCTCCTGCAGAGTGTGACACTCCTTCTGAGTTCATTCAGCCTGTTCACATTCATTTTCCCTCATTAATCACTCTACCCAATTCACAAGAAATACCGGATTATTTCCACGAAGGGATTCTTCATGCACCAAAATTTCGGAGCATTGTCACAATCCAAGAGCCATGCTCCCGCATATTTACATGTCTGAGTCCAGTCATATGTTCCCACCACCGTTGCACAACCAGTCCCACTGTTCCATCATTCAGAGGTTATGGATCAACCACAAGAGAAACGTCAACGTGTGCATATTGCAACAATGGAGCATTGTCAATATTTCGTGAAAAGAAAAAAAAGATACTGCAGGATGACTGTGAAGAAAGGAAATAAATTCTGTGGTGAGCACATGGAGGTTTCTGGGGAAATCACTGTGCATGAAGATAAAAAACGGGTCTTCTGTCCCATTGATAATTCTCAGTAAGTTCATTCTCAATTCATTATGTCTACTCATTCGGGGGTGATTGGGGTGTTCTAAGAACGTTGATGCATTTTTTCGAGGAAAATTCTGTAGGGAAACGGCTGCATTTTGAAGCTTCAAAAAATACCTAGAGATAACTCATTTATTTATTTATTTACTGAGTTAAGAGACTAAAGTAGTACAGAATTAAAGTTGAATGTAAAAAGGGAATTTTATTTCCAATAGCCCTTGTGAATGTTGAAAAAATTCAGGAGGACTCAACAAAATATTTAATTCAATTCAATTCAATTAATTTTTCTTGGGTGTTGTATGTACTGGTTTCCACTTACACTAGCCTCCCCATGTCATCTACTTCATTCCTGAATAATTGACTTGAGTTTGTGCATTAAAATTCTTCTTAACAAGAGAAAAATAGCTCCAAAAAACAAAACATTTTAGGGTGTTTACGATTCTAGATAAACATCCTTAATTGCCTGGGGTGAATTAATTTTCTAGACACTTTGCAGTACCTGTTATGAATCGAGACTCGAGAAACATTTGAAGGTTTGCAATGCCAAGAAGATGATTGACGCCAAACCGGTGTATATTGTTGATGGAATTAACAGGGGAGATGTTCTGGAGAATCCCGAGCATGTTTCTTTGAGTTTACTTGAAGAAAGCGTTGTTGAGTCGGTTATCAGGAGGGTGGAAGCTGCGCATGGTATGTCTCTATGCAAAAGATATTTTATATTCGACGAATGCAGTCGAATTTTTGTGCTTCCAGTTGATTTACCCGAAATTGAAGAGCTGATCCTTCAACATGAAGTCCTTGACTCCGAAGTCAATAATCCAATTTATGGGAGCAATACTAGAAAGCATTTGATACAGAATTCCTCGCTTTTGGGGCATATTAATCGAGCGGGACTGGCTCGAGAAGACACTTGCTTCATTGAATTTGGGGCTGGCAAAGGTACATTTTGACGTTCTATTCGGTTATTTGAGAGGCGAGAAGAGACAACTATCTCTGATTTTTTCAGAATATTTATCACTCGACGGTGAATTAGTTAATTCAGCTCTTTTTAAAGTCATTTAAACATTCAGAGGTTTCTTACAAAAACTACCCCATTTCAACGACAATTCAATTAATTATTCACATCTTTAGAGAAGTTCAAAGTGTCAATTAGACCCTATACTTTCCTGTTCAATCAAATTCTAAATTTATTGAACTTATATTCAAGACCCATTTAATCCCAGGGTATTGAATATTCTGCAATCTTATTATTTATACCTCACTGATTTGTATTCTATTCTCTATCTCGAATCGTCAGAAAGTATTTAAAACCTCTTAAAAATAGAAATTCATGAAATATTTGGAAAAATTCAAATTTTGAAGATTATGGCCGTTTTGCCCACTCTAATATGTATTTGGATTCCCAGGAAAATTAACGTATTGGTTGGCTCAAATGCTCAAAACCACAAAAAACAGCACAATTGTCCTAGTAGATCGTTCCAGTCACCGAAACAAAAAAGACAATAAACTGAAGAATGAAGAGACAAGCATGAATACAATTCGTATCCGTGCAGACATTGCCGATCTTGCATTGAGTAAAATTGAAGAAATCAAGGGAATCAAACACAAAGTCGCAATTGCCAAGCATTTATGTGGAGCTGCGACTGGTAAATCTAAAAAAAAACAATTCCTCTAAATTTTCGAGTCCAAATCATCCTCTCATTTTTAAAGAATTTTGAAAATAGAACTGCCTTTTTTCAGACTTGACCATACGCTGTTTATCACGCCTTATAGCAGAAGATATAAATACCGAAGTATCCGGTCTGGTAATAGCCTTCTGCTGCCATCACAGATGCGATTATGCCTCATACGTAGGAAAAAATTATCTCAAAATGTATGGTTTCACTGCTGACGAATTTCCGATTTTATGCAGCATCGCAAGTTGGGCCACTTGTGGCACTGGGAAGAACAGAGATGCATTGAATGACCCCACGTGAGTTGAAAAATATTTATTAAAATCTCATGTGTAAAAATACAAATGCACAATAAAAACTAAAATTACAGTCAGGAGGTAAAATTAGCGAAGAGAGAGTCGACAGGAAGAAAAGTCAAGGCGATATTGAATTGGGGTAGGATACAGCACCTGAAGAGCCTTGGATTTGACAGTCGTCTGTACTATTATACCACCCCGGAAGTTTCCTTGGAGAACGCGTGTGTTATAGCAACCCGAAAACCAGCAGAAGCTCAATAGAAAGAGATTGCATGAGATACTCGATAAAATAAATCAAAATTATCATTTTCACAACAGACTCTGGCTCATTAAGTTCACCTCCCTCATTTCTCTCCTCACCAAGAGCTGTATGATTTCGTTCATAGCCTCAGTTTGTTCTTTCATCGTGCTCTTGAGATCTCTAATTTCTCCCGAAAACGTCGATCTCAGGGTTTTTATCTCGTCTGTTAAAGTAGCCACTGTTCGAGTGAGAATGGCAATTTGGTCCATCGACTGAATATTCTTCGGTCCTTCTGGTATTTCGGGTTCTAGGAAATTTATAAGCAACTTCTCTTCTATTCGTAATTGAGCCTCAAGCATTGGTGACGAGTCCCCGAAATCTGCAAGTGTCATTTATTTCCAAAGATCGTTAGCCGAATGACTACAGTTTTGATCGAAATACATACAAATTAATGAAGGGCGAAAGCCATGAAATACCAGTCCACGAGTCGTCAGAGTTGGGGGTAGTGGGGGGACTTGGTCCTGCGGCAGCTAATGCCTGACGTTCTTCAGGTTTTACTGAGGAGAAAAAATGATTATTGACTAAGACATAAAACTTGAAAAGTTCGGAGTAAGAAAAAAGTTATTTACGAAAGTAATCGATTGCTTGTTCTGGGTTGTCTTCAATGTCCTTGATAATTTTCTGCATTCGCTTTTTGATGGGGAGTAATTGTTCTGATGTCTTCTCAGCAATAAGATTGTTACGAGTATCCCAGTAATAAGGGATACTGTGCTTGTCGCACGCTTCGCTCAGTTTCTTCAACATCTGTAATTCGAAATTAATTTGGCAACAACTAATTTACATGAATTTTTTGTAGATACTAGTGTTGATGCCCTTTCGATAATTTGATTTTGTTTTTTCAATTAATTGTTTATAACCATTCTCATTGCACAAGGTAGTGCGGTCAACGAGAATTATATGTCCCAATTTATCAGCTGTTAAATTTTCATATTATGAGAAATAATTTTCTCATGTTCTAATTCCTATGCTCACTGGATATGATTTTAATCATAATTACAATTCAATTCCTTCTGGACCACACTTTGGAGTATGAATTTCTGGAATTCAATGTTTGTTGATACTCTGGTAAAAATACGTGCCCACATTTTTTATAATTTTTTAGTTGGTTAAACCTTAATTTGCAACATTGACTTCATTCACAGCTTCTTTTTGGATATTGTTCATTCGAGACATTATGCCTTTTTTCAAAAAAAGATTGTTATTGAAGAATTATTTTGTTTTGCATATTTAATGAAATTTTTAAAAATCAAGTAAGCATTGGTTTGACTTCTCAAGCTGTTGAAAATTTGATTCAATTCAATTAATATGTTTCATAAAAAATTTGACATTCAATTGAATTAAAATACAGAACATTGAAAATGCAGATGAAGCTGGTATGCAAATTTCCAAAAAATTCTAAGTGAATTCCACGTCCAATTCTTCGATTCTTTTTCATTCAAGTGGATATGAGACTACTCACGTGGAGAAGTAGAGTACTCATAGAAGATCTGCTGAGATCAAGCGAGCCCGCAATCAACTCGTGGTAGACTAATGTCTCGATGTAGTAACTGGCGAGGATTGAAGACCAGTTTTGGCAATCTTTCAGTTTCTGAATAAGAGTTTACGAGATTTCGCTGACATTTGTCAAATCCAAAAAAAAAAAAATGAAAATGAATAAATTCTAATTACGACGAGTACCTTCAGCTGCCTTATAACAGTCTTAATTTTCCCATTAGTAGACAGCAATGCTTTCTCATAAACATAAAAGCAGAACCTCCAGCTGAGTTCAGGGTTAGTCCCAGTCTTCAAAGGTTTGGGCACCAGATACCACGATTTATCACCCGTCGGGACTCGACGGAAAACGACGAGTTTGGGTCTGGTCTTGAACTCGAGGACAGGCACCAGATCCACGTCGAATTTCCCACTGCCGTAGACAACCATAAGAGTGAATGCTGGACCACTCTTCTTAGTCTTCACCTGGAGATTAGAGCGATGAACATTTGGATTTTTACGTGCATGTTGAAGTTCATTTCTACATCCACTTTGATTTGGATTTTGATTCCTCTGAGGGTAAAATCTCCTTTTTTTATTCAGTCGTTTTATATTTACTTTGACAGAGCGATCTCCGATTCTGAGTGTCGACCAGCCTTCCGTATTCTTCTCCATTCTGGAGAATGACTTTGTAACAACACTCTCGAACCATCTACGTAGCTCATCGTTATTGAGGCAATTGTCGCCGTTCGAAATCCATTTGTTAAGAACCCTGAATAATAAAGGGGAAACGTAGTGAGCAATTCTATTAAAGGAAGAGCCAAGTGGACCAAAATGGACACTCGAATTTCTTTTCAATGTTCAAAACTCAGAAACAAATTCATCGTAGGCTCATCACAAAGCCGAAGAATAGTACTTTGCATCGAAATAAAATCATTTCGTTTCATTAACAATTCAATGAGTTATTGGGAATCAAAGAAAATCAAAAATCAAAATCCATTTTGTCCCACTTCCCCCTGCTTGATTAAACGCTTTCATACTATAAATAACATTATTGCCTACTTCTTATGTGTCTCCCAGGCGGGTTTGAAAGAGTCTGATGGGAGCTTTATTCTCGCATAGCCAGGACGATCTTCCTCAAACTATTACCCCAAAAAATATTTGAACACTTGATGTTCTCGATCATCTCCATGGTAATGAATCAATTTAAAGGAGTAATAATGACGCTAATTGTATAATCAAGAGAAACGCCATTTTGCTAAATTATTTAAGATTCCTCAGATTCTCCACATAATCAATGACCTCTTGTGTCGTTCTCAATGATTTTAGTGTTGCATTCTTAATCTTAAAAATGTCGATTACATTTATTATGTCGGGCTTCTGAAGCTAAAATAATTTAGCAAAACGTCGCTCCTTTTGACTGTTCAATTGCCGTTGTTATTCCTTTAAATCCCCTGACTCATTCACATCTATTTAAGGCGAGACTGCGGTGAAGTTTGGAAGTCAGTGAATTTGGATGAAATATTGTGAGATTGTGACGTTTATATTTTTTACCTTTAGAATCGTTCGAGTGCCTAAATTTTACTCAATTGGAATTTTTGTCAATTAGTGAATAAAAACGACGCGCTGCGGCATTTTCGTTCTACGGTGACCAATGTCGGGTTAATCCTCAAAGATGGAAAGGGCTAGTGAAAATAACATCATATTCTAAAAGTCACTCAATAAGTCCCAAGCTCTAACGAAGACTGAAATTTCACCGCGGTCGCCCTTAAACACTATTTCCAAAAATAGAAAAATACTAGTACGAAGAGAATTTCAGTACAAACTTACTTTGATCTTACTGTAGTCAACCGGAAGCTTTAGAATCAAATCAAGATCAAATTCTTCAGGTTTACCCACCCTTGTTCCTTTGTAAAAACTACCGGCAAACATGATTTCTTGGAACACGTCTTTGAACAGTGGATCCTCATTTTTCATTATCTCCATTATCGAATTGAGGACCTTGAAGCAATTTATTTTATACGAATATTATCATTGTGAATGATTGGATGTAGATTAGTTTCTCGAGTGATGTTCAATTACCTCTCTTAGAAGAGGGTTCGTCTGTTCCACGTGTTCCTTTTGCAGTGTGATAAAGCGATTAATTTTATTGAATATTTCATCGCGACCTGCTCTACTCCTCGCTGTCTCACTCATCTATCGAGAATTAATTATTACTTGCGGAGTGATAACAATCGTTTTTGTTGTTATTTATCGCGTGGAGAACCACGTAGATGAACATTATTGCAAAAATATTCATGGAATAGTAGAAATGACGACGAAAAATAGTCATTTTGTGAAATATCATTCAAATTTTGCTGTTATAATGGTGATTTTTATATTATTTAGATGAATAATATGATAGAAATATTCATAGAATAGTGACATTGACGATAAAAAATAGACATTATGCATGATGTAATTAAATTTTTGCGGTTATAATGATTTTATATGGTATACCGTATGGTGACACCGATGTAGATAAAAATTATTGTGAAAATATTCATACAATTGTGGAATTGGCTAAAAAAAGCACAATTTGCAAAATGTGAATGGATTTTGTTCTTATAAAAAGAATTTTCCGTGTTATTTACCGTCGGACAATTCATTTAGATAAATAATATGATAAAAATATTCTTGAAATAGAGGAAAGGACGATAAGAAATAAACATTTTCGTTAAAAAAAGTGAGAAAAAACAATGAGAAATCAATGTTTACAAACAATCATAGCGGAATGATAACAAAGGATGTGAAATACATACCATGAGATAGTATTACTTCTGCCGGCACTGGGCGTTCTGTAAGACTCGAATGACGACTGAGGAATGACGTGGGCCTGCGGGATACGAGAGGACGCGTACGCTCGCAAGAATAGAAATAAAGCAAAAGTTTAAAGCAAAAATGGACGAAGTTATAGCCACGGCCTGCTCCGACGCCCAATGAAGTGCGTCTGAAGTTGTGAAGCAGACAGGGTGTTGATCCTGAATTACTTCGATTGGCTGGCCTTCACTCGTACTCCGAGCAGTACTGATAAGATTCATTATTCAATTTTTAATTTATGGAATTGTCGGGGTGGGGCAATTGCCGAACGAGTCCCGGGGCCCGATTTTTTATTTTAGAGTCATCCATCGAACGGTCGATATTTTAAATTATCGAAGCCAATGCGGATTATGACATTCTGTTCTTTTAGATGATTACTTAAAGATATCTGAGTACTTTGGAGATTTTTATTCCGTCGAAATGATTTTCTATATTTTTAGGTCAATATCAGAGCTTTCATTCAAGCTCTATTTGACCCTGGGTTACAGAGCACTTTGGGGTGATTTTATTATTTAAATTTTGAATTTACGTCGACTTTGACTACTGATGTTTTCCATAAATATCGAAAAATCTTTGATGATTGCTGATTTCATACGATTTCAGTCCTGAGTGACACAGTGATTTCACAAATGAATGGCCCCTCGCATTATTCATCGACAAAACGGGAATATAAGAAAAAATGTTGCAAGATCTGTTCTGAATTTGAACTGCACTAAAGTACTCAGATATTCTCAAGGAATAATCAATCATTTATCTCCGCGATAAAAAATCGGGCCGAACTGATCAACAACTGCGGCGTTTCATGGATTTATCTTTTAGATACCTTCGCCGCCTCACTATCGCTACATACAGAGCGATGACGTTTTTTGGAGCTGCCATGTAATCTCCTCTTCCTGGAAAATAATGGATCTGTTTGATTGCAAAGTCACGTACACCATTGCCAGACGTACTTACATGTTTCACCTCTTATTTATCAATAATTTTTAAAAACTTTTCTTTCGACGATATGTTCAAGTAGCTGACGAATTAAAAACTTGATAAACTAAAAGAGAAAAAGGCAGTTTTATTCATATTTTTATGAAGGAAGGAATAAATGTTTTATAGTTCTTGTGGATATTACATTCTCTGAATTACTCTCTTTATTTAATGTTTTTTTTTTGGGACAGGGTTTCGTTTATTTGATATTTTATATCGACTGGAGCTGCTTCCTCTTGTGTGTATTATTTTTTTATTAATCAATGAAGTTTTTCGTGGATTTAACATTTACAGATATTAAGGTATTTACGCATGATATACAATTTATCTTCTCAGTTTTTCTCGCTCTTTTATTAGGTATTGAAATACCTATTTCTTGCCTCTAGCCATTATAACGACTATTTTGCGTTTAGGTTTTGAATGTATTTTGCTTTCATTATTTTTGTATGTACCCACAATAAATATATAAGTGATGCTGTCTACGTGATGTTTTAATGATTATGTTTATAAGAAGCTGACATTTAATAATACGATTTTAATATTATTACACACACGAATAATTTCGTATCAATTTTTTGTTCATTTTCTTGTTAGTGGTTTTATGCCAATAAAAGTTGGTTATTTATAGAACTATCAGACTAAATAGTTTCATGTAGTTTAATTATAAATTGATTAAAAGATATATTCCACGCATCAGAAGATCATTTTCTTGTAATTTCAATAATTGATTGTTTTCTTTACAAATATTATCAATTGTGTTTTTTAGTTTATGTAGATTTTTCCAATGAATCTATCTCTTTGGAAATTTCCACTTCTCTTCCATATTTATTTCCATCTGTTGTATTTTGCTCGTATTTTAATTTATTCATGTGAATTTATTTAGTCAATTTTTTCTTAACTACGATGACTTACGTTTAATTCTCACCTCGATCCTGGTTTGACAATTATTCAGAAAGTGTTTAAAAAAATTTTTGTTAATTACGATAAAATGATAATTTTTTTTCGAGATTAATTTTGAATTTTCACAGGTCCATTATGTCAATAAATTAGCCAGACCGATTAGAATTCAATTATTCAATTGTAAGAATTTTTTTTGTTTTTTTTTTCCTTTGCACTGAAAGATAGATAAAAGAAAACGCATATTTACTTGCTAGGTCGGGTGTACGGGGCAGAGCGATAGCGCGACGCTGAACCAGAGGTTGTCGTTGTCTTGTAAGATTTCCAAGCTCTGCCCGATGACTCCTCTGTGAATTCAACGGATTAACCCATATTTTTTTATTTCAATTACTTCGGGGGAAGCCAGCATAAATCAATTTTTCTTTTTCATATTGTAGCTTTTTTCTGAATGGTGGAAAACGGATAAATTTTTATAGAAACGTTGCCCATAGTTATCAATTTGCCCTAGGGGAAGGTATGGAAACATTCAATAGAAAAATCTTTAACTATATTATTTTTTGTCAATTTCTATTGAGAATTTCACATAAATCATATGATTTTTTATAGATATTTCGTAGAATAAATTCAATGGATTGAGATTTTTCTGTACAATTTTTTCTCTTGATTTTTGTCTCCAGAAATTCTTGACTATTGATTCTCCTATCTATTGAAATTGTTCAATCAAATATGAATTGAAAAATCGCCCAGCAATCTGCACAATTGTCAATAGAAATCAACGACAACAACTCGAATTTCTACAAAATGTAGTGGTGACCCAATAGGATTTTCTGTGCATTCTGCTGAATTTATAATAATAAATAATTCCCTGAATTCCCACAATTTCCAATAATTGTCATGGCCACACGAACCCGAAAAATATACTTCCATACAATATTCAAGAAATGTCATGAATTATTTACTGAAAAAATTAGACACGACAGCATATTTTGTTTTCCCAATATGCTGAGCATGAACATGAACAAATGAAAAAGGACTTACCCGGATAATCAGAGCTTTCATAGTAATCATGAGACGAGTGTGGTGGTGGATCATCATCATAATCATACGTGCTGTATCTCGAAGAGGAGTAGACATCATCTCTATAAGCACTTCATAAAGAGAAAAAAGAGTGATTAAGTGATTAAAATGTTCTCCCAATGAATTGTTCTCTCTTGAATAAAACAATAAGGATGTTGTGCGTGAAAATTGGCTCAAAGGGGACAGAACATCTTCAATATTCGTAACAGACTTACGAAGAAGGCGGAGAATAGTGTCGATCATATCTACTGCTGCTGCTGGATGATCCATGGTAATCGTAATCGTGGTGAGATCGACTGGGTGGTGGAGGTGGCGTAGGATCATCATATCTATCCCCGGAGAGTCTATAAATTTTCATGGCAACCCATCAATCCTCAAAATCACTTCAAACTGTTTACAAAGTATCAAACTCACCCATAACTCTGATCCATGGCCACTCTGGCACGATCCAGAATGGAAAACACCTTGGTTTTTGCTGGGACAGGACGAGTTATTGGTCCACGAGATGATGGGGGCGGTAGCATGGCTGATGAATCAAAAATACCCCGAGGAAAACCATTGAGGAAAACATTAAAGCTACAAAATAAACATCCAAACTCCCGGAACTCATTTCCGAGACATTGAAAACATAATTTACGTACCTCGTGAGGACCTGGGAGGTGCAGGTCGACTGCTGGGTCTCAGGATCCCAGCAGATCTTGAGCTCGGTCGTCTCTCATCACTAGAGCCGGGATCATCCGACATGCTGAGCTCCATCTCCCTCATCTGCTCCTGCCTTATGTTATCGTTGTTGTCTGGTATGAGGTACTTTCGTACTTCGGCGAGAGCGAATGCAATTCTAGCGTGGGCTTCAGCGGGGGGAGCGAGGGCTGCTATTTCCACGTGTAGATCATCAGCGAGGTGAGCGTACTTTGGATCCAGGGATTGTCTGCATTCCTCTTCCTTCAGGGATCATTCACATAATTCATCTTTCACTGAGCATTCTTTCTGGTTTTTTTTTTCAACGGGAATTTTTTTTCCAGGAAATGGTCACTCGCTTTCTTTCGTACAAAATTTGAAATATTTTTATGCTTTTTAGTGCACGGAATTTTGAGCGAAAAGGCCCGTTGACGTCGGTTGATAGAATTAAGTGTTCGCGATTTTACGGGTTCTCTTATCAAGAAAACGAAAAAAAAAAAAAAAAAACGTTTCTTACATTCGATATTCGCCATTCGCCATAAATCAAATTATCAAATGAACGAATTTGAGTTTCTATATTCTCCCAATAATATATTTCACTGATTTCGAGTTTAAGAATTGTCTGCATCAGTCTTCCTTCAAAAACCATAAATTCTAAATTTTTTTATTAAGTATGGGAAAAAGTTGGTTCAGTTGTTTCATCACAAAACCCAAATATATAAAAAACGAGTGAGTCGACTGATATTTTTCGATGGATCCGCTTGTTCTTGAGACCTTCCAAGTTTTCTTCTGAAGAAACGACAAAAAAAACTTTTCCTTATACTCAATATTTGTCATAATTTAAACTATCAAATGGACAACTGTAATTTTCCATTCTTCCAATGATAAAATCCACTGATCATTCATTATGAATCCCCTTGGATCGAACCCCAATGACTGGATGAATATAAATCACATCATCAAAGAATGTTGAGGTACAACCAAGGATGCCACATCCCCCAAGAATATTTCCTCGTCGTGTAACTCCTCGGGGAGTTTTCTATCCCTCCCAGAAGGAAACGACAGGATTACTTCGGTCCAAGTACAGAAAATCGATTGCCACTATTGGATTATTTACGATGCGCATGTGGCCACATCTATTCTACCTCCTACAGGTGAAAAAATAAAACGAGGATAGATCGAAAAGAGACGAGCGCAATGTATCCAGATCGGGATCTAGCCCCAATGGCACTGGTTATTTGTCTTGGCGATGAATTAACAAGAATCAAAGGCTGAATAATCCATGACAATGGGCATGGGAGAGTTTGGTTGTTTGTTTAGGACTTGTTTGGGATAATTAAACTTGTGTTAGGTGAATTAAGGGCTTGTTCACTTGCCTTTTGTCTGTCTTTCATCGATCCACGACCCAATACAGCCATTTTACACATGGTTTCCTCCTGCAGACGTTTCATTGAGTTACCCTTTGGCCCCAATAATTTTCCCACAAAGTTGAACTGCAACACAAATTAATAACTTGCATACGAAAATCATGAAGCGAACATGTCACTGGGGTGAATAAAGATTTCAAGAAGTCTTTCAAAGTTTAGATTGCTTCATTTGAACATATAGAATTTTCAAATATGAATAATAAGATAATTCTGGGGATAATCCAGTTAATAATGCGTCTCATCACTATGAGAATCTGCATTTAGCGAATGCAAACGAAATTTCACTGGATCTATATTCTCTATTCCTCTTTTAAAAAATAGGTGAAATATTTTTGGTCAGCAATCTATTTCGTCAAGTGTATACTAAACTTAGGAATATTTCAAGTTTATCTTAGCTGATGAATAAAAAATACTTATTTATGCATAAAATGTATCAAATAATAATACACTATAACGTATATAATACATCAATTTTATTATTATTATTATTCATAATATTATCATTATTATAAACATTTTGTATATAGATAAGAATTTTTTATTCATAAGCTAAAATAAGCTTGAAATATTCCGAAGTCTAGCATAGGCTTTGCCGAAGTAGATTGCTGACCGAAAATGTTTCATCTATTTTTTAATAGAAAAAAAAAAGATTGACATGAAAATTGGTGGACATTGTTTCGCAAAAGCTTAAATATAATTACCATAAAATATAATTACCGTTAAATATTGTAGTCGTCAATTAGTTAACATCACTCTTAAATTTTTTAATTATTCAAGTATCAATTTAAATACTCAAATTTTTAACATTTTTAATTTTATTTGTCAACAATTTAGGTAGAAAGATTGACGATTATTTGTGTAATCGAAAATCCCTTTTTAAGAAATTGGAATTATTCACTTGATGGTAAATTTACAGTTCCACATTATCAAATATTCGATTCATCATTAACCGGAAAAATTATATTATTAATATTATACTATTGATAAAATTTGATCAGTATATTTTAAACCTTCATCAATGTAAGGGCCAAACCCTTCTAATATTACAGAAACTACATATTGACGGGGATCCCTGATTTTCACACGTGGAAAAAGGAACCATTTTCACCGTTCAATGCGCGTACTTTCATGAATGACGTGAATTTTTCGTCGTAAAAATTTGGTAAAATCCTTTCTCAAATCTGAACACAATAAAAGCGGACACTAACTTCCTTTTAATAAATAAATGAATACATAATGATGAAAAATAATGTGCAGAAATCACTAGCCAATCATTTTCAAGAATTGTACCGGAAAATTCAGCCAAAAATTTTCAACAGCTCACTCTACCCTATTTCTCTCTATTCTATTCTCCTCTATTCTACTCAATAACATAATAAGTACCTTCGGATGCTCTCGAACAGGAACCAGCACCTTGACAGACACCCTGATGGGTTTCTCCCTGTAGATATCCACATACTTAGGATCACGAACTGGTTTTCCAATGGCCTGTGTCTTCTGAATCTCTAAAACTCCCAATAACCAAAAAAACCTTGAGTACCTCCGACCAAAAAAACCTCCCAACAGGGGTAAAAAATCCCGATAATTGTGCCTCTCCCGGTGAGCATCAAAGCCAACAACTCCAAAAAGACCACGAGAACCAAATCAATGAGCTTGTCTAGATGTCAGGAGTCTACAGGACAGACTAATTTACCTTTCTCTATTTGCTACGACTCAAAAAGACCCCCTAAAAAATCCATTTCAATGTGTCTGCCGCCAATTCCCAGTGAAATTCACGGTTCCGCGTGTGTCAGGCGCAATGTCGTCAATAGACGTTGGCACACGTAAAGTAAACAATTTGTTCTTCCCCTCGAGTTAATTATTTTTATTTGTGAACGGGCTAAATGACTCCGCGACGTTTATTTACAATGGATATTCGTGCGCATCTCCATTCTGATTAATTATATTGAGGATAATGGGAAATTGGAGACATGAATAACCAGTCTAATTGAGTCATCAAGAATGCGACGTTTCGCTTATTAATTTAGCCTCATCCGGCGGGGGAAAAAATTCAATACAATGTCTCATGTTAATGATATGGGGGAAGTGGAGGTAACACGGACCGCATGAAATCCTCAATATATGCGGACTCAATGATATGAATTAGATAAATCAAGTTTTACGTTAAAGCAATGAGAAAAAAATCGAGAAAAAAAACAAGAAAATGTTCGATAGCATGAAAAAAATGGGACTGGACATAGCCCATTCGGCATAGCTCCCCCTCGCCCCAGGAACAATTTCTCACTGAAAACGGCAAAATAACTACAAAAATAACTACCTCAACATAATCAGCGAGTGGTCACGTTATTACCTAAGACTTTCATAAGAATGAACACTTTAGGAACAAAAAACACAACAGAAATACGAGGATCTAAGTAGAGTGTTGATTTATCTCCCCAATTTCTCTTCACCGCCAACATGTTTTTATTTACCTTGGTCGATGAGGCGGAGGGCATTGGGCCACTTCTGTGGATCGAGTGCAAGTTTCTCGGCCAGCAACTCCCTCATGTACTCGCCAACCTTGTCCGTCTGGTGATCCTTCTCGTCTCGGTCCTTCTCCAGAGGTATTCTCGGCTGGTCCTCACCACCACTCCCAGTTCCACCCCCCTCATCGTCCATCTGATACTTGTAATCGCCGTTACTCGATTTATCAGTCATCACTCTCTTTTTCTCCCTCGTCTTTACTTTTCCACCCTCCAGTTTATGATCGTGTTCAAACTCTCGGTGACCCGCCTACACGGGAATTGTACGCGATTGTTTCTAGGTTTGGTGGAGGCGTTCTTGATGGGGTGGCGATTGTACCGTGTGAAGGGGCTGCGGAGGTGTCACTTCAAAGGATTTTTTCGAGAGTGATTCACCACGGGAGCGAGGTATGTACAATGCAAAACGGACGATGATGGCGTCCTGGTTGGACGGACGACGGAACGGGATGTGCGGTAGGTTAGGTATCACCTGTGACTGCTGCGCACTCTCATGGGCACGCGTGTCATCTATTTTTTCATGAGATTTGAGTCCGCCCACGATTGTTCACTAGTGTGGATGATTATGCGATGAGTCGAATAGCCAATGCTTAGAAATGAATCCATTCTTCCATTAAAATAATGAAAAAAACAATGGATTTCGATTTTTACCGGTTTACGGCTCGGTCTGCATGAACTTTTTGTTCATTTTTGTTTATAATTATAAAGTAGACATAAAATTCTGATTTAAGAGTCAAATGAAAGGTCTTAACCTGTCACATGTCGATAGATACGTCTCGAGGGCGAATAATAATAATTAGCATGTAATTATGAGGATATAATGCACCTCAAAATTCACCAATTTTTCAAGTTCACAACAGAATATGGCAGCTGACTTCTGCCCCGAGAACAAAGCCTAATTATAATTTGTACGGAAGCAACACACCCTTGAGACGTCATTACCGACACATCGGATATTCTGACCTTTCGTCTGATCCCAATATTGGATTATATTACGCCTTTTTTAGCACGTAATTACTATCCCCGTAACTGAGGTGATCACCTGTGAATTTCGAGATTTTCGCTTCACTGAAATCTGGCAGCTGTCGCCACCATCACCTCGGAAACAAGCCGAGTTGATAGATCCGATCAATTAGCCCCTCATGTATAGATATTACAAATTTTTATTTTTTCCGCATTGAAGTAGTTTTGAAGAAAATTGCAAGCAAATAAAAAACATTTGCTAGTCAGTACTTTTTTTTAAATAAATTTTTGAAAAATCACCTCTGAAAAAAAAAGGCGTTATCCCCTCTATTTCATTATTTCCAAAAAATTTTATCACCAATCGATAGCAAATTGTTTGAAGATTTTTGCGAGTTACGAAAAAATCGTCAATGCACTCCTATTATTGTGTAAATTAACAATTCCAATTTCAACTGAAAACCAGAGTTGTAGACCCGAGTTTGTAGCAGCGATGTCAGACAAGATATGAATGTTTTTTTGGGCTCAAATGAAAGAGCGGGTCGAGAAATGGCGTGCTGGGGCCTCTAAAGATGGTTTTGAACCAGGGGTGACTCCTAGACCCCACTTGACAATGTTGTCACAATTGCGCTTTTCAATTTTCGATTATCTCGGAAACTATGAGAGATAGAGCATTAAAACATATTCCATTCGATTTCTGAGGAAATTTGGGTTCAGTATAGGCGGATGGACGGCTCAGAATTGCGTTTTTCCACTTCCTACACCCTATACAAGATGAATTAAATTAATTTTTTTTGGCACTTTCGTTTTTCGCGATTATCTCGGAAACTATGGGAGATAGAGCCTTAAAACCAAATTTGGGTCCCCAACAGAAAGATGGACGGCTCAGAATTGCGTTTTTCCAGTTCCTACACCCTATACA